AGGAATGCCCTCGCTCTGTGAGCGTCCCTCTCGGGTCCTCTGGAGGAGCAAGGTGCTCAGCTGTGCAGTGTGCCACCCCATTCCTCAGGACTATTCTGAGCTGTCCCATCCACTTTCCTCTGCCACCTTCAGGGATCTTGATTTGCCCCTGCTTTCCACTACAAATTGTCATTTAGGCCCAGCCGCTAGCCCCTAGCCATCCACAGGTGTTCAAAGTCATGAGATGTTGAGGAAGGAAGAAAGATGGGGCTCTCTCCATTGGCCTTTGGGCTTTAGAGTCTGTAGGCTGCCTCCAGGTCCAGGTTTCCAGCTTTTTTCTGCAACCTCAAGAGTATTTTTTGAAGCTCAGATTCCTTTGCAATCTGCTGACTCTGGCAGGTGAGAGAAGCACCCTAGAGCAGAGCTTGACCTATGGGAGGTGGCAGCACTAGGTAACCCTGAGCTGGGGGTGGCTTTGTGGTTTGTGACTACAGGAAAGATTGAGGTCCCTAGGCCCTGGGCTGATGGCAGCTCTGAAGAGGGGCTGCAGGGGAAGGTGGACCAGGCAGTAGATGACTTCCTCTCTCCAGACCATCTGCCTGTGGGATTGGTTCACAAGTAGCAGAGCTAGGCTGGCATCCCAGCCCACCTCACAGGCACCCTGGGCCTGAGGTCTAGCAGAGCTGGGCCCTGGTGCTGTGGCTGGGTTATCAGGGAGATCAGCACATTGGTGTCAGCCTCTTCAGAAGAATCTGGGTGCTGATTGCGTGGAAATCTGGCCCTGAGCTCTTACTGGACCAGAAGCTTAAAGGTGGCTCTGACCTTGCTGGACTCTACTCATGTTTGCCAAGGGCCAGACAGTCTGTACTGGCCCTGCTGAAGAGATGAGAGAAAGGGGCTTGGGCAGAAGAAAACAGAACCCTGTGTTGGGCTGGGGGGTGGAGGTGGCACCAGTGCCCTGAGGCAGGCGGTCAATCCAAGGGTGATGCACGCAGACTGTGAGCAGAGGGGGTGTCCACAGGAGGTGGGCAGAAGCTTCAGCTACCTGTTGGGCTGAACGTGGGACTGATCCTGCTGGGATTCAAGGCTGTCAGACTCTCTGCCAAGGCTACTTATCTAAGCGATTCCCACAGGGGGCAACAACCTGCCAGAGCTGCTCCTGGGACCTTTGTACCTGGCAGCTGGGAGGAGATTTACCTTCCTCAGAAACCAAGTCATAAACAACCGCAGATAGGTCTGCAGTGAGGACAAACCACAGGCCTGGGGAATGAGGTGCCGGTGGGGTTTCCCTTGAAATGGCTGGCTTGTACCTTGAGATGCCGCTGCTATTCCAAGCATGCAGGGGAAGAGATTCATCCTAGACATGCTATAGTGCATGAGGCACCAGACCGCAAAGGACAAAAGCCAAGGCTTGCTCCAGCTGCAAAGGGTCTGGCTGGGATCCCCGGTACCAGGAAGGAACTAAAGCGTATCTGGCTCTGGTGGATTTGAAGGCAGCCCCACCTGTGCGTGCTGTGGTCAGACAAAGCTGTGGGGCTCTGGGCTCTGTCTGGGCCTGCTCAGTGCTTATCCCAAATCCAGGTCCTTCACGAGGCAGGCGCAGGAACAAACTGGCCAGCCTAAGTGCATTAAGGTTGCTCACAGGCCGGATCCCCAGCTGGCTAGATCCGCGCTGCTGTGCTGATACCAGTGGTGCTACACTGCTCTACACCAGGTTAGGGTCTCGGCCCTGGGTATGGAGACAGCAGTGATGTATGGGAGACTTTACTGAGGCTGGTTTTTCTTACTGTGTTACAGGCCTCCCATTTGCTTTGGGCATTCTGGGCCCTGATTCAGGACAAATACTCAACCATAGACTTTAACTTCCTAAGGTGAGTGGGTTCCTGCACCAAGCCAGAGGCCTAAATGGGGAGAGGTGGATGTGGGCAGGGCAGCCCCCGCGGGCAAGGCCCTGAGCCAAGATGCCCTTCTGGGGCAGGCTAGTAAGAAGTCCTTTGCTGTTTTCCTCTGAGCTGCCAGCCTTGGGCAGCGTGCACTGTTGCTGCAGCACCCGCCAGGGCATGTTGGGAGATGCTCCTCACATGGGCATCACTCCTGTCTGAGCTGAAGAGCTCTGCTCTGTTCTCTGAGGCTGCGGTGAGCTTGGCCACCGCTAGAAGGTGACAGTGCTCCATTGTCAGACACATGAACACCCCTGTGCGCTGAGGATAGGGGCTGGTCAATCCATTGCCTCCTCAAAAGTTTGGCCCAGAAACTCCCCAAATAAAGGCAGCAAACTTCTCCTTAGGTGCACTCAGCTCTCCACCCCCCACCCCCACCTCACCTGGTATAAGAGGCCCAAGCTCCCAGGCTCCCTTATTATCTTTTCTGAGGAAACCGCTGCACCCCGCCAAGCAGCTCCTCTGTTTAGGTACCTCCCATGGGGTAGCTGATGTCCTGGCCGCAGTCCGTGCTCCCTGGTGCTAAGCCGGCCTGTGTGTCCATCTCGTGGCAGGTATGCAAAGCTAAGGTTTAGGCAGTACTTCAAGGCAAAGCCAGCGGTGACCACCCTGCACGTGTCCAAGTGACATCCCCACCTGAGGAGTCCTCCGGTCCACAAGATTGCAAGCCGTTCTCTCCTGCCACGTCCACGGACCTCAAGCTGTCACCCACAAGCAGGGAGAGCGGCCACTCAGGAGGGAGCAGAAGTGGGAAGGATGGGGGAGGCTTTCCACGGAGCTGGCAATTGAAATGGATGCCCTTGGGCATGGCAATACCATCTCTGGGCAGGGCCCAGCGATGGCTTTGCTGGAGACGCTGCAACGTGTTCAGAAAAGGACTTGGCTTTTTGTCTCGGATTGAAACACTGGACCCTGAGGGATGCGGGAAGCCCGTGGGCTCAGCCGGGCTGGACAGGGGAGTGCCTTGCGGACTGGTACCGCCTTCACAGTCAGCACTGGCCTGGCCCTGCTCTGCCCTTGGGCTGGGCCACCTCGCCGGTTTGTGCTTCACTGGACTGGACTGTTGCTGCTTGGCACTACGTTCTCTGTGGGGATGTGCCATCGATTTTGCCCCAGCGGGGAGGGGTGTCTGTCTCTACCTCTTCCTTCTGCCCCAGGGCCCCTCTGCCCTGCTGACCTCTCCTTCCGATGGACAGACGCATCCTGCAGGGTCAATGCTGGCTGCCCCAGTGGAAGACTTCTCCAACTGGGATCTTTGTGGCTGCCTCCTTCCCTGCCACCCCTGCCCCTATGCAGCTGCACAGCAGGCCCCAGACCTGCTTTCCTCCACTCCCAGCTGTGGGCAGCACAGTTCTGCCTCCCTCTGCCCTGGGGCGGGCTGAGCCCAGGAGCTCTGCAGGCCCAGGCTCCTTCCCCTTTCCTCTTTCAGCTCACTCTTAGGGGGTCTTTTCTCCCATGTTGCACAGGGCTGGAGGACTCACTGCTATGAGCCCTACAGCTGCTGCACCCAAGGCCCCAGGGCTGGGAGCCTTTCCTCTAGCCCTGAGCCTTAAAGCTGGGGTCAGAGTAGCTATAATGAGTGTGCCTCCCTACTCCCTTAACCTTGGCAAAGAGGCTCCTCTTGTCCCATGTGCTCTCAGCATCCACCCTTGCCTCAAGGAGGGGACAAGGGTGAAGGAGGGATCCTGTATGCCTGGGAGGGGGCTGTACATCCAGCATCTTCGCCCAGAAGTGGTCCGAGGGCCCTGGAGACCAAACCAGGGTTGTGTGTGCCTGCTCTGGGCTCTCTGCTCTGCCCTGCCCTTGGGCTGGAAGACTGAGATCTGAACCTTCCCTGGGGCAAGGGGAGCATGTTGGGAGCTAGAGAGGATGGCTCTGGGTTTGAGTGTCCCGTAGCTTGACCCAGGCAGTGCGCTCATGGTGCCAGGGGCTCTGAAGGTGTGTCCCGGGGTTCTTGTTTTGTGCACGTGTTTGTCTCAGGCTCTTGCTTTGCCTCAGATTCACAGTCCAGCTGCTGCCATCTCTGGGCTCCTAGCAGGGACTGGCACACGGCTGGGGCCCAGAGCGTGCTTTATACCCACCTCGGATGTGGCTGCTGAGCAAAGCTGTAAAGGAACCAGGTGGGAAGGCAGTGGGGCCTAGCCCTGCACCCCCTTGGTGGCTGCATGGTTAAGGCCTGCATCCTCTCCAAGCCCTTGGCACCTCTATGCTGGGAGTAAAGGGCCCGGAGAGCCTGGTGGTGGGAACTGGTCCCCTCTCTCTTGGTTACGGGTCCTCAGGGGTCATGTCCAGAAATGGCTGACCTGTTTCTGCCCTTTAGCTATTCCTGGCTGTGTTGCAAGCCCTGGGGCCTATGGGTAGCTGAGTCTCTCAGAGACTCTACCCTGTGCATGGGGAAGCAGTCCTGGCAGAATAATCCCATGTATCAAGAACAGTCCTTGCCCTTCATTTCATGTGCAGCTCAGGCAGGTGTGGGGGCATCACAGCACCCACTTAAGAGCTTGCCCTGTGCTCCCAGGAGGTCAGCTGGGGCTGAAGGAGGTGGCTTTAACCCTTTCAGTGGCTCGTGTATGAGCTGCAGCATGCAGGGAACACACAGGGGTTTGGAGGGGAACTGGGCTCCCCACCTGAGCTCTGGGGAGCTCGACAGGCTAATGGACACTGGTGCCGTGGGTAGTACCAGACAATCCCAGCTGCTGCTGCAAAGCAGAGCACGCCAATGCCGGAACTACAGAGACAGGGAGAGGGTGCATCCCGCTGAATA